TGCAACTGCAGCAGTAGCTATTACTCTTGCATCTAAACGTGTGCACGCAATTGTAAAATTAGTTTTTGATTTTTTTCTTTTACTGTAGATAAATTTTTCCTAAGCAAATTTCTTAATTAAGTTTCTGTGATAGACTGCGTAAAGCTTTTACTCATCTTCATTTCACAGATTTCTAAATGCGAATATGCAGTAGCATATTTTGCTTCGTGCTTGCGTTTCAATATCAGCTATCTATGTGCACAAATATTTGAAAAACTATCTATATATGTTTATCTTTTGAGCTAAGTGGCGCAATAATGTCACAAATCACTTCATTAATGTGGTATACCGGCAAACCAGTAGACATAAAATTTATAATCAAATACCAATAACTTTAAATTAGCTTAAGGAAGAAAATTAAATGAAAATTAAAACAATTAAGTATTGTGTTATGTTGAAGAAAGACTTTGTTAATTTTGAATTTATTAATTCTAATTATATTTAAGCTATTAATTTAATGGAATCGTAAAATGTGTTAAACATTGAACCTAAAAGTTATGTAAGAGCTTTATGAGGTTTTTTCGAACAGTAGTGAACTACAACAACAAAAATTTTATTTTTTATATTATTTTAATTAATTGAATTTTTGGTTGACCATACTAGTGCTGTTCACATTATTCGAAGTTTTTAAAAATTCGAAGTTCTTCGAATATTCGAATATTCGCATTTCAACGAAGTCTTCGAAGTTGGAAAAAACTTCGAAGTTTTTGTGAATTTTTGTTCTCGAAGTCTTCGAAGTTTAAATGTAGTGAAAAACTTCGAAGACTTCGTAAGCAAAAGGTGAAGTGAGAGCGCACAATGCAAACAAACGTGCATCACACAAATTATTTGAGGGATGAAAGCGTTTGCTTTGTTTGTACGGTTTTATGTTTTTTGTTGTTATTCTATGCAGAAAATTAAAAACATGTTTTTTTGTTTTATTTTATTACATAAAATTTATTTTATTATTTTATTATTAAATATGTATTATAATATATATTATTTTTAAATATGTTATTATTAAATATTTTTTATATTAAATAAAAAATTCACATTTTAAATAACTTATATTTATTATTTATATTTAAAAAATTATATGTATTTATGAAAATTTTTAATATAATATAAAATACATGAAAATTTGATGGAATTTCTTTTATACAATTTTGCTTATACACTAATTTACATTTTATTTAAATACTTCCTTATAATATTATGTATTTCTTTTCCTAGAATAAGGGATTTAAAAATTTTCCATAAACAGTAAAATAACTGTAACTACAACAAAACATTCAAAATTTTATAATGCAAAAATAAATTTGCGCTTACCTGCGTGATCATCACAGCTCATACAGGTCAAATAATTAGGCATTAATGAGCGAAACTCATTTTTCCATAACTAATTTTCAAGGTTTTAATTTGTGATTTTCTTTTTAAAGGAAAATGAAAATTTTTATAAAATTCCATTACTAATAAAATCCATCAATATCAATATTTTCATATTATTACGTATATATTTTATATTATATTAAAAATTTTCATAAATATAATTTTTTAAATATAAATAATAAATATAAGTTATTTAAAATGTGAATTTTTTATTTAATATAAAAAATATTTAATAATAACATATTTAAAAATAATATATATTATAATACATATTTAATAATAAAATAAATTTTATGTAATAAAATAAAACAAAAAAACATGTTTTTAATTTTCTGCATAGAATAACAACAAAAAACATAAAACCGTACAAACAAAGCAAACGCTTTCATCCCTCAAATAATTTGTGTGATGCACTTTTGTTTGCATTGTGCGCTCTCACTTCACCTTTTGCTTACGAAGTCTTCGAAGTCTTCGAAGTTTTTCACTACATTTAAACTTCGAAGACTTCGAGAACAAAAATTCACAAAAACTTCGAAGTTTTTTTCAACTTCGAAGACTTCGTTTACTATTCGAATATTCGAATTTCTTCGAATACTTCGTAAATTCGAATATGAACAGCACTAGACCATACAGCTGTTTCGAGTATTGCCAAATACCCATCATTAGTGGTCTTAGAAATAATTCTTATAATAATAAGAACTTAATAGAATCTGATTAGAATCTGATAGAATATGATATGCGTCCATCAATTAGAACTAAACTAAGTCCAAAAGAAAAATTCTGGTGTGTATTAAATATTTATTTATTTATCATTAGAAATATTTTCTAGTTGCGGTATCAACTATTTTAAATATATTTAAAACACAATATATTTTCGATTCCTATGAATGTCTTTCCAATATATCAACTTTATAGATGTAATTATAAATTCATCTACAAATGAACTTTGTAAATATTCGTACAACTTTTACAATAAAATCTATGAACAATGTTATTATCATTAGCATCTGACCTTTTTCTTGATCTTGATTGATTGATTGTATTCAATGTCGTCTGGTAGGACACAACTATACTTTCAGAGCATTAGTTAACACATTTCAACATAAGCAAGGTTTAACTCCCTATCATATACCATGGTTTATTTTTAACATTATATCAACTTGAAGTCAGATCTTGTACAATTGGTGACTTCAATGTTGCTTTTATTAATATACGGAACAAATCTGCCGAACGCGGTTAACAGATTAGAATATTCTATGGTAAGAGTTATGTAAAGCTGAAATATATTCGTGGGTACCATTGATCTCTTTGTTTAGTATTTGGAGATTATAGTAAGGTTCCAAGATTAATTTAGCATTGGCTGATTGTATAAGGTTGACCTGGATTTTAGAAATCCTTTGCGTATTTCTTCAACCATATCACTATTAAGTACCACAATTAACTAAAAGTATTTGAAACATTATATTCACCTAATTTTTCGACCAACTAGAGTTGTTTTCTGGTAGATAATGCCATCATGTATATCGTTTCTCCGTTAATAATATGCAAACTTATTTTTTAAGCCGCCTTCTTGATTTGAGCAAAAAATTCTTGTACTTGTCAATGTAGTTTGAGTACGTTGGTATTCTTTTCGAACAAGTGACAAAAGTCCTTCTTATTAAAGTACTGCAATAACGGATTGTTGTCTTCAATGCTAAGTTTGGAGAGGATCAGTCTAAATCAGCTTCGTGTCAATGTATGTTAAAGATGTTCATGTGAATTTTTATATCACCTTAGCATGCTTAGGTTGGTTATAGTCAACCTAAACAGTTCTATCAGTTTATTTGGACTGTAAATTCTTATTATGGCTTTGTTTAGTAAAAAGAATAGTAAAAAGAAGACGCCCAACTATTCTATTGAATGTAATGCTTATTCTAATTATTCAAAATTTTTATATTGTTTTATTGAAAAATGTTAGAAATCATTAAAATAGTGTACCAATACCAGCAAGCTTGTTAAATTTTTAACTGATTTCAATGCAATAAGTATTGGAATCATTCAATTATTATTATGAATAGACAGGTATTTTCGCTATTGTAGAAAGGTATTATATTACATTTTTATGTAACAATAATTTAATATTATAAATTTAAGTAAATTGTAATTAATGTTATTAATTTATAAATAATAATATATTTTTTATTTTCTTTCAGATCTTAAAAATCATTCATCTGTTAAATACTTAATTAAACTACTACAATACATTTAATAAAAATTAAAATTTAATATCGAAAATACAGAATAAAAATTTATGAATAATACTTTCACTGAAAAATTAAAGAAAAAATTGATTTGAATACCAAACTACTTTCACACAAAATAATGGCGAAAAAATCGGATAAAGTTGCAAAATGTCAAATAATCAATGATGAGGATGAAGATGAGAACCAGCGAAGATTACAAAATTTTAAAAGTGTGAAGCGAGCTCATAATATGATAACCTAATTACAAGTGAAATAAAAGCGAAACTCAATATAAAATAATATTTTAGTAAAGAAATAATAAATTTAAAAAAAATTTTGTGCTAATGTAGACACATAAAGTAATAAAATTTAAAATTGCACCACTCATAAATAAGTTATTAACAAGTTCGGCAATAAATAATAAAAGTCTTTTCATAAGACCGACTTAAGCAAGGATTAAAATAAGCAATAAGAAATAAAATAAGAAAATAACAATAATAATAATATTAATAATATAGTCAATGCAATTATTTTACGTTTCTTGCATAAACAAGGTAAATTACAGATTAATTTACCAATGCAGAAGCATTTTGCTGGGCACTTGACAGTAGTCGCCACAGCAGGAGGAGTGGCTTGTTTTGTAGGCAACAGCATTTTGATTTAAATACACAAGGAAACAAAAAATTTAACAAAAGCTACTAAAAATTAAAATAAAATTAAAACAAAAAAGAAAGAAAATTTTCGTCTTTTTTGTTTTCGTTCATGCGAAGAAGAGGTTTACACTTGAATTGGAGGGCCCTAGCACTGCTGGGTGCCCTCCTTTCGATTTTAATCGACTGGCCTGGTTTAATGGTTTATGCAATGCCAACATTGTTTCGTATGGCAACACCACAAGCAACAACAATTACAACAACAACAATCGAAGCAGTAGCCGCACTTGCAGAACAACAAGATACAATGCCATTAAATATAATACAGCACAAACAACACTTGGCACGTGATGATGATTATGATGATGATAATGACGCAGGCGAGGTAACTAAACCGCCACCGAATTTGAAAAATATTCAACAATTAAGTGATAACAGTCCTATTAGTAATAAAAAAAATATAGATGATAAAGGAACAGATCATAAAAACATTAAAGTTAACACTAAAAATGAAAATAACATAAAGCAAAATAATGAAAACATCACAAGTGAAAGTGTAACAAATACTATAGTCCCAGAAGCAGAAGTAGAAATTCCTCAAGAGGAACAATTTAATGATAATAATAATAAACAAAAAAATTCTGAAGAATCTTTTAATAATGAATATGCTAGAGATAACAAAGGCCACAAAACAAGAACTATCAATGTAACCCATTTACCGAACTATTTGCTACACAGTAGTGATAATAATCACAACAACAAGAATAATATTAATAGTGGCAATAAGGCTACGAATGAATTACAGCAACATCAGAGTGACAACAATAAAATGTTGATGACAATGACTTCAAGTGACGAACAAATATACAATGCTCAACGTTTAAAAATTTTAAATCTTATATCAAACAAACGTAAACGCAAAAAAGTTGATATAATGGAAGTGAAAAATGATGAAATTACTCTTCGTATAACAACTTCATTAAGTAATAATAGTATTAGCCATAATTTAATAAATAACACTACACTCAATAACAATAAAATAATTAATAATAATACTAATAATATAAGTAATTTTAATAAAAACAGTAATAATTTTATAAGAAATGATGAAAGTAGCGAACGAACGTTTTTACCAACTACTACTGCCATAATTGATAATAACATAAAAACCTTTAATAATAAGGAAATTAATAAAAATACTAATGTTAATAATAATGATAACAATCAAGTAACACTTTATAAAAACCAGCATCGCATCGATAATAACAAAAACAATTTTAATAATAGAGATATAGCAACATCATCGACAAGTTCAACAAGAGATGCTGTTAGCGGAACGAATGTTATATCTACAACAACATCACCATCAGCAGAATTAATCAATAATTTTAAAAATTTTTTATCATTTAAATTTTCATCATCACATCACACAGCTATATTATCACGTACCGTACGCAATGCGCGTTCCCAAGATCCAACAACAACAATAACCTTAAATAATAATAACAAAAACTCTATACGCCGTACTAGTAGTCAAAGTAATGGTGGTAATATAGTTCGTAGATCATCGGATAATATTGGTAATGGTGTTGTTGGCTTGAAATCAAAAAGACTGAATAATTCTAGAAACATAAACAATAGCAACAATAAACAACAACAAACAAGTAATTTAGATCGTAACGAACGATCTACAATATCGCATCTATCAGGACCAGCACGTAAAATACGATTATTTATTAAGAATCGTTTCCTGCAACTCATGCCGGATGGTACTGTGAATGGTACGCTGAGTGAACAAAGTGATTACAGTAAGTATAATTTTTATGTTAATTTTAATAGAATAGATATTGGTAGACAGACCCGGACAAAGGAATTAACTTCGGAGTGGGTTGTGTTAAAATGCTGAATATACTATACTATTGATTATATCATTGACTATATATGTATATATAAAAATAATGCTGCATATGTATACAAATCGTCATTAGATAAATTATGGGAGGGCCGCAGTTGGTTTTTTGCGTGTCAAACTCCTTTCTTGCATATTGGTAGATTTTTGACAAGTTCAGTAAATATAGGTGTATAGAAAAACATTTGTTTATTTGTTAGTAATCGTATTAGAGTTATCCTTGCACTCCACTTAGGTTATGTAATAAGTTAGGAATCGTATTAGAATTATCCTTGCAGTCCACTTAGGTTAGGTGGCCCATTGTGTATATACATATCATGCATTTATATACGATATGTAGAATTGCTACATGTTTAAAAAACTAATTTAATTTCAAGAATTTAAATACTCGAAATGAGAGGTTTTAAAATTTTAATAGACCAACAATTTGCTATTAAAATATATTTAATATTTAATTAAAATATTAAATGTGTTTTATAATATTTCAAAAGGTATTAAAAAGAAATAAAATTTGTTTATAAGATCTATGAAATTTTAAATGATCACTTATATGTGTTTAAATACATATATTGTATGAAATACAGTCAAAATGAATGAGACTGAAAAAAAAAATATCTTATGGAAAATAATCTATTATTCTGCTTTGTTTATCTATTAACATCTTCACAATGAAAATATATTACACAATACATTTTTAAAGAAAATTATCTAAAAAAAATTATTGTTTTTAAAGAATATTAGCTAAAGTCGCAAAAATATTTAATGCCATTTGAAAATTTGAAAATATTGGATAGAAGAAAATATTTAATATTTATTTAAACATTATTTCTGCATATAATATTTATTTCTCAACGTTTAAAATATCTGAAAAGCTAGTCAGTGCAATTTATAAAGATTAAAGATTGAAATGATCGCATATAAAAGTATTGTGAGTGTTATTTATTGTTTTTTTGTTTTTATTTATTAAGCTTTTTTTAAAAATACTCAAAAAAAAACACTTAAAAATAATTTAGAATATTTAAAAAACCATTATTTAAAATAAAATTATATATAAAAGAAAATATTAATGTAAAAAAATGTATTAATATTTTTTATAGCAGTGCTTCATATGATAACAGATTGCAATTAATTAAGTATCTTAGAGGCTGTTTTTTACATAGTATTAAATTACAAGTGCATATGAATAATTAAGCAGTTAATAACGAATAACATTAACTTAAGGTTTGTTATAGCTTCAGTACTTTTAAAGTAGAAAATTTTATTACAAAATAATCATTTTCTATTTATATTTTGAACACAAGACATTACATTACATTAACTTTTGACATTACATTAGACATTACATTTTGTGCTACTGTTACATTTTTCTGTTACTGTATAAGTTTGTTATTCTCAAATGTTAGTAACAAGATCTATGTTCCCATATTTCACCTCGCATATTTTTCTATTTTTATTTCTTAGCGAATGTAAAAAGATTTATGAAAATATGTCAAAAAAAATTTAATAAACTTAAATAATTTTTATAAATTTTAAAATTTTTTGCTTTATTCTTAAGAATGAAAAATCAAAGACAAAAACAAAATGCCATTTGCAAATTAGATACATTAACTTTTCTACAATAGTTTGATTTTGGTTGTAATAAAAATTCAAAATTAATAGATTATAAGAGAAAAAAGTTATAAGTAATTTGATACAATATATTTATTATATATTTACAAAATTTTCTATAAGTGAATATTTATTACTATATTTATTAATATTACTATATTTATTATAATGTCACTAATTAAATAAAAAAGTGACAAAAAACCTGGAACTAGAGCACTGAAAGTTTGTGTAACCTTGGCTACTTGTGGATAAACAAGATTAGTCATTGCTTCTAATTTATCATGCACGAGTTCTAAGCCTGGCAATTGCAGTCCAAACAAATTATTTACGGACTATAAACTAATTAAATTCAATTACTTCTTAAAACCACTGAAGATGAGTACTTGGCAATACTCGAAACAGCATTGTATGGTCAGCCAAATTTCAAAAACTTAAATCAATTTTTGTGTTTGTCCTTTCTTTCTATCTTTCTTTGCTATTCGGAAACTCTCTAAATTTTAAAAATTTGCTTCTTTGTTATTATAAAGAAAGCGTAGCTTTTTCGGAAACACTAATAAAAACTATATATTTATTAATATTTATTATTACATCCTTATCAGGTGGTAGCAACGTAAAGGCTTTGTCTCAGAATAACAAAGTATATTAGTAATGTTGCAGTTACACTAATGTAACTTGTTATACTAATATTTACTAATGTTACACTAATTTGTTCCTTTCAGGTTCCGCCTCAGCTTTAACGAAATATATTGATCAATTCCGATTTTCGTTCCGGCAAAGATATCGCTTTGTTTCGGTTTTTACTTTGTGGTTTCGTCCCAGTTTGAAACCTTGGTTAAAATATAGCCTTAAGTACTTGTATATGAAGTGCACTATAATTATAATTTCATTTCTTTATTCATTTAGTTTGTCATTTGTTTTTATTTTGAAAAGTATTTTCACCTTAGGAACATGAAAAATTAAGAAGCAACATTTTTAGTAAATATTATTCCCACAAGTATTGTCTTCCAAATTTATTGATATTGTTTTTTAATTAGTTGGTATCGTTATTTATCACAATTTTATAATAAATTATAAAATTTTACAAATAAATTTGGTATTACCTTAAAAATTTCAAATAAGACTTCCGCATTTCTATACGTATGAATTCGAAATATGTTAACAAAAAAAAAAATACTTTTACTCTCTCTTTATTCCTTGTTAATTTTAATATATTTTAGATTGTTAGTGAATCACAGTTATTTAAAAAAAAATTATTCGTATAACTCTCTGCAGAGCATAAGTAAATCACAATATCAGTACCCATTGATCTGCCGTAATAATTCAATAATTTAACAGAAGTCAATAGGCTAACATACCGAGCAGGCGCATACCCTTTGCAGATAAATATCTGCGTCATACCATATAATTTTCAACTTGTTTACATATAAACATTTTTACTTAAGATTTGTTGTATCTGCCTTTGTAAATTCTTACCAGTGTAAACATATTTGACTGCTTTTAATTGCCGTTTAGTGAACGCGCTTGTGCAGTATCTTTTACTGTATTTTACAGCAAAGCAAAACAAAACCAAAACCAAAAACAAATAAAAAAGATATAAAGTATCTCAAATATTCAATTTGATGATGAACAACACGTACCGTTAGCAAGATATCATATGAAAATAAAAAAATTAAATAAAAGTATAATAAATTTCAAAAACTTGCTAAAAAGGCCAAAAAACCAAAATCATATACATAATTTATACATAATTTTTATGGGCAATATTAACTCTTTTATGGGCTTATTTTCGCTTATCATCAGGTATTCTTTATGTAAGTCATTATGGTTTTTGTTGTAATTATTGCCAAAAGAAAGGAAAAATTATAAAAAAATTGCATAAATAAAAATACAACAGGTGAGTTGACAATAAGCTCTGAACTTGTAGGCAATCCAGTTTGTTTAAGTTTTGTTGTAGAAGACCAATTTCGGTTAACATGGGTGTTCATTTGTCCGGTCAGGAACTTCAAGTTCAGGTGTTAATTTAATTTCTTTTGAATTCATTTTATTATTTTTTTTTAATTTTTTATTGTGAAGTTATTACAACTGAGATTGATGAAGTTCAGGTTCAGTTAATTATAATATATTCAACAAAAATTTTTTATCTGAAAAAAATTATACATAATGTGATTAATAAAAAAAAAGGCATGAAAAAATTGAATGAAGATCTTGAAAAGGGATTTTTAATATTTAATTATAATATCTTAGTTGGGTCTGCTATGTCATGGATGCCAAATATTATATCTGTAAATACTTTACGTTTTTGGATGATTAATTGATGCTATTTGCATAAATTATGAAAAAAAAAATTCTGGATAAAATTCATGGTAATTATATGGTAATTTATAGTAAAAGATTAATATTATTTTCTAAGTGGAAAAGTTTAAAATGTTTGTCTAGAAATTGTTTGCAATAATTATGTGTAAGGGCAACTAACACAAAAACAAGCGTTTATTTAATTAAATCAAATTGAAGTGGTTGAACTTATTTTAGTGTATTTATCATATATGTATATATTAATATGTTTTAGTAGTGTGAGAGGAAGTTCTTATTTTGGGTGAGATCATATATCAGGATGACTGAAGTATTTCCCTTTTTTATGTGAGTAAATTGAATCTTTGCCGCCTTTATACCACATACTGACTACTCTAATGCTTAGAGTGTTTATATATATGTATATATGTATAAGCGTATAAACAGTTCAACACAGTTATTTAAAACAGTTATGTTTGCAATAATGTTGATATCTCGCATTTAATTTGTGAAGCTATGTATGTAATTGTGTTAATATAATACTTTTTAGATGTCATCTTTAATCCATAACATTTTTTAAAGTCTCTCTACTCTCAATATAGAAAAATATGTTTTTGAAAAAAATTATTTTAAGTTCATTACCATTAAAATATTTCGAAATACACTTTGATTCATCACAAAATTCTTTTATACAAATAATATTCTGCTATCATGTTGTTGTATATCTTTCAACAATATTGTCAATCTATCAATACACAATATTTGTAGACATATCCTCAAAAACATTTTTTAGTTTGCATACAGATTAGTTTGCAACATTAGTTATTTTTAAAACTAAAGCATTTGGAAAAAAAATTGTCAAATGATTTTCATTGACAGCAGCTAAGATACAAAAAAGCCGCATCTCATCCCACTCAACAAACCAATATCGCCCACAACAAAGATTAATACTCGCACATTAATATTTACACGATCATTAGTGAAAAGAAAATTTTGGGAATT